TTGTAGCACTACATCAATCTCAAAACATATGCAACGGCTCTCGACAACTAAATCATGTCGAGAGTATTCCTTGTAAGTGCAAGTAGCTACATAACAGCTAAATATTCGTATATTGAAGACTTGGCCGATTAGGTGACATGAGGTATTCATTGATACGTTTTAAAGTGGCTCGTGCAGGATTCGCCCCTGGTCGTGAACTCAGAACCCATTGCAACCGCCGTCTAATCGACTCTTTATTTGGGTGCTCTGTCCCTGACCCCACAAACGCTCCGCTATCGTCGAAATAGAGTGCTAAAGCAGCTGTCGCGATGCCTATCGACAGGTCTTTGCCGTCTTTGCATAGGATCGTAACGCGAGAATCGGGAGAAGCTGTGAGGTGGGATTGGATAAATTTCAGTGAGGTGGGGAGCGTGTGAGCGAGGAATTGGACGGGGTGTTGTTTGGGGTAGTAGCTCGGAACTTCAAGAGTATTTGGTAGAGCAAGGGGCGTCGAATCGATAATTGGGGGTATGGTGTTATAGGTGACAGGAGGCTCTGCGGTTCTAGCTGGTGCGTCGACAAGAATGAGCGTAGGTCCTGATTCTGGTGAAATCGGCTCTGATGAGCGAATTCCGACTCGTAATCGACCATTCGTGGCTTGAATCGGGTCCGAGTTTGAGACGGATGTATCATTTTTAGAATCTCCGAGTAGTTCTTTGATTAAGTCCTCCAGTTCATCTTGAGGACATTCGAGTAGCCGTGATTTGTTCGCCCAGAAAATGCTCGGTGTTAGCCCCTATGATATCCTGGTGAGACTAGTGACCACATTTGAAACCCCGAGCTGGAATTTGCGACGTACATGACTCCACAACTCGTGGTCGTCTCCTGACCCTTGAACGTAAGTAAATCCAAGCCGCCGATCAACTCCGTCCTGCACGCGCTGCGAAGCCGAGAGGCAAACAACCGGATAGAAAGGGTTAGATTCGTCGACGAATGGCACTTTTGGATTTGTTGAATCCGGACTTATCCAGAACGGGCGAAGCGGTTTCGAGAGGGTTAGTAAAGTATATGCGGATGCCTACGAATGTAGCTAAGGTTCATGTCATCATTCCAATTATGAAGAGGCATACCTTTAATTCATTGGCCCATCCTTCTATCTTCTCGTCCATTTGCGCATGCTCAGATGGTGACACGGCATCGGGTGGTGTAAACAGTCCGGCATGTTCGCCATCTAGACCAAGTGCCCGGTTGATCACCGCACACCAGATGGGTACAGTACGAGAAAGTGCGTCCGGATGTCTCTTTCCTCTTCGTGTCGAGTCGACTAGTATGATTCCGCCATTTGAAACAATGATTGGGAGGAGATGAAGGTTGGCCCGACGTAGGTTGAATGCCCACTGTGAGGTATGTCCATCTGTAGATTTGAAGTAAGCGGCTGATACTACATCCGGCTTCATCTGGTTAGGTTCAGATAGTAAGTCGTGATTACGAGTTAGAAACGGTGACCACCACACACCAGGGTTGGATCAACGTACCACGCCCCACAGCGCAAGTTGGCTAATATCCAATTAGATGTAAATTAGGAAGTTGAGATACGAATCTCCAAGTTTACGACTCACGAGCTACGGGGAGGGTTCCAGAATTTACAACGTTTCGGACGAATATAGCGTCTTGGTTGATGGAACGCAGTCGGTTGTAGGTGTTGGTCATCTCTTGACGGAGTACATTGAGCCCCGAGGATCTAAGTTCCGCCATGTTGTTGTTGCAATTGTTTCTAGGTTAATGTTCGGACCGAGTCGGGGGTGGTGGTGGTCGGCGTCAAAATTATCCATTTGATGGTACGGTACAGAACCACCCTCAGACTTTGGCGACATTTTGATCATATTTTACTTACGATTTTATTTATGCTCTCACGCTAGTACGTCACTTGAAGGCATACAAACACTGCCCGCCGGTTGCTGGTTGCCCAAGTCGTAGTGATGAGTCAGCAACCCAATTGGACTGATTTGCAACTCTCCGTTTGTCCACCACCTATAACCCCACCCATCCCATTGATCGTCCCAGCCACTGCGTTCTAGTCCTCGTGCGTGCCTTGTAGGAACGCATCGATCTATTAAAACTGATTTACGTGTTTTTCTCAGCCCCTCGTACCTCGACCACTCGAGCTATCATCCAACCGCTGCAACCAGTACGTAGCCTGCACTCGAGACATACTATCCTCGCTAAACCTCTTCCACGAATGCAGTGAAGAACAAGAACAAGCAGACTCGCTTCCCGGTCGTGCGTCTTTACCCATACTTCTGTCGGTTTCTCGAGCTAATCGCGTGCAGGACTTGCTGTCTCTTTCACGCAGGCCCGTATCAAGAAGATTATGCAAAAAGACGACGAAGTAGGCAAAGTTGCCCAGGCTACACCAATCGTCATTTGTGAGTTTTATCACCCGCTTTGTGCTCGCCGTTTGGTGACCTGGAATACAACCACAGCCAAAGCGCTTGAATTGTTCATGACCGACCTCGTCCAAGAAGCGAGCAACATCACTGTCCAACGAGGGGCAAAGAGGTTAGAGGCATACCATCTGTGAGTTCCACAGTTACCAGGTTTCATTTCACCGATGTTAATCGTTTTCCCGACAGCAAACATGCCATAGAAACCATCGATTCGTTCGACTTTTTACGAGAAATCGTCGCACCTGTCCCAGACCCGACCAACGGTGGTCAGATACCCGAAGACGGAGGCAGTGATGATGGCGCGGCGCCTCGCAAGCGCCGTGCACGTAGGACAAAGGCGGAAATGGAAGCCGATGCCCAGTAGATTCGAGGACTGTGACATGGGGTGAATGACGAGGCAAGGCTGTCCGGTGGCGGACTGTTGACCGTTGTGGACTGGGCCGTTGTGTTGTTTGTTGTGCTGCTGAGATTCATATCGGATGTACTTATTGTGTCTGAATATTGTTGTGCGAGTAACTTCTTGAGTGGCAAGTTCCGACCTGAGCTGATTAGGTGGACGCAAACTATAGTTTTAATCAAACCTAACTAACATACAAGAAGAAAGTGGGGGATTCATAGTAATGGCATAAGGAGAAGGAATGGGTAAGAACAGAAACGATTACGATGCTGGCGATAACACCAGCTGTTCAAGGAAATGGAAGCCAAGCGTGATGGGCCTTCAAGGTACATCCGTGTAAATCCGCAACCCGTACTTGATCGTTCCGTGTTCATGTCCAGTTCCAGTTCCACATCCATGATCAGCCTGTGCAGCGAGAGGAGAGGAAAAGAGAGAGAAGGTTCTGGACCCAAGCCGTACGTTCTCCCCATGTATTCCGATTCTGATCCTGCACCAGGCCATTTCGAGCAGCAGCCAGGCAAATGACTACAGAATGTGTCAGTTTATGGGGTGAACATGAAACGAGACGACTTGCCGATTGTTCTATCAGCGTTTGTACTTCTTTCGACCCTTTGTAAGACTACTCTGGGTCGAGCTTCTCGCCACGAGCAAGGACACGAATGATTTTTCCGGCGGGCGGGGCCATAATCGCTGCAGCCGGTTTCTCGACAAGTCCACCACGAGAACGGCCACGGCCGGGTGGTGGGCCGCCCGCACGGCCTCCTGCCCCTCCACCACGAGCACGACGCTCGCCCTTGCCGGGACTCTGAGCCGGCCTTTCCTTTTCAACATCCATCACTTCGAGACCAAGCTTCGAGGCCCACGAGCGCACGAGGTCGCCGTCGACAAGAGATTCGTGACGTCCAGCTGGATTGGCGTCGACCGAGTCAATGACGGCAAGCGCCACTCGCTTGCCATCGGTTGTTCCCGTATTGGACTCCCACTTGGCGCAGCACACTATTCGCTTCATCCATTCAGGTGCGCCCGCACCTTCCACTTTCCAGCGAGAATCAGGTTGATTGGGAACTGAGCTGGCACCGGAAGGAGCCTTGGCGGCCATGGTGTCCCAGGGAATAAAGGCGTCGTCTCGCTGAACACGAATGCGTGGGTTTTCGCCCACTTCGTCTTCGAGGAGGCGTGAGGCGGCACGGGAGCGGACTGCGAGTTGGCTATTGCCCGATTTGAGAACATCGAGTGTATTGAGTGCTATAGAATTCCAATATCGTGTGAATAGAACGATTGGCGAGTGATCAAACTGAACTGACCTTCGAGTGGGATCACAACTTCGGTACGTTTATTACGGCACCAGCGTTGAACGGCTCCCAGGGCATGAATCAACACGCTTCCGTCGACGACGATGATGTCCGGGAGTGGAGCGGCCCGAGGTTGGGCATGACTGATGACTCGGGGCCGAGGGGGAGAGGCTGATTCGGAAGCGGTGTCATCACTGGACTGGGGGCGGCGACGCCAAGAACCTTCGTCTGCGCCGGGAGGACTGATCCCAAAGTCTGCCTTGGTACGAGCACGGTCGAATTCGGGGTCATAGTCCTGGTCCTTTTCGGCCCGACGCATCCCACCTCCACGGGCCCCGCCACGTCCACGGCTTGGCCGACGATGGCCATTGGCGTTTCGTTCGAGCTCTGCTACTTGGTGGCTGAGAAACGCAGCGCCGAGCGCACGAGACATGGAAGTCCGGTTCTGTTGGGGGAGGTCCATCAGGGGTGGGTTGCGCTGTTCGATGGTGGGGGAGAGAAAGTTTACCTTGTCGATGGAAGGATCGAGCACTTTGGACATTTTCGCCTGTTCGCAAGCGTGCTGGTTCGCTCGTTGCGTTCGGTTTTGTTATATATGCGGTGCACCAAGGCCTTGTGGTGGTGCTGTTGATGTCGTGTGGAGATCAGCGCAGCAGTTGGCGCTTAGGCTGTTTGTCACATGAGATCCGAGTCAATATACATGTCATCACAGGCCCAGATAGGACATGTCACCTGCATCTTGCGGCTCAGAGTTGCCACATCCAAGTTTGTTTTCGGGTACGCGTGCATACGGTTTCCGGCTGAGAGTAAAATAAGCACGTATAATATGATTCCTTCATGATCCATATTTTACATTTGTTTAATCAATGCACTTTACAAAACAGCTCCGTTGTGGTGTAACGGCTAACATGACCGCCTCTTAGGTGGTAGCTCTGGGTTCGACTCCTAGTGAGGGAGCTTTTTGCGCATTGATTTAGCACACCCAGCCCTATAAGTACTTTAGAACCGACCTATGCTCCTTTCTATAGTATTTGTCCTCTTAAATACATACACTGGGCACAGATGGTTTGTGCAATAGTAGTTTCAAGCTGCACTCTCTACACTGGATTCGTTGCTCGCCCCAACTGGCTACTCTGAGGCCCCATGGAAAGGACAATATGCTACGGTGGCGGCCCTTCACGTCACATGCTGGTCCCTGGGTAAGCAGCCAGCTCTTTAGGTTCCCATGCAGAATGCATATACTCGCGTTTCGCCTCATATTTTCTTCATTGCAAGGGAAGTTACGCACAAATTTTGCCTTAGCAATTATAAATGCCCTGAACAATATCAAGGCCGCGCGAGTTGCCAGTGAGCATTATTTTATCGAAGGACCGGACGACATATCTATTGGCCCTCGACCTTGTCCTACCCAGAGTCCCGAGATACAGGCAAGACTGTATGCCGAGTTAGAATATGCTCGAATCTGTATATTATATTCACTAATTTTGCTGGAGATTGTTTAGCTCATTCCTCAGACCTAGGAGTCTGCGATTCGCTTTTCCGGGCACCCAGTCCAATCGGGGGTATTTAGGTTTGGCTCTAGGACGTGGCATGATATGTCTCGTGGTTGTTTTGTGCAAAAGAAACGCATCCTCGATGGTCTGTCGGCTATGATACTCCCCGGCAGCCAGGTCGTTTGGCTTCTACTGCGTCGCTTGAATGATTTGTGGCATGTTGCTGGCTTGCTTTGAAGTTTTTAGGGCTACTTGTTACGCTTCTCCTCCGTGTATCGGTGAGATACTCAACCTCATCGATTTACTTATCGATTCCTCAAAGCATTCACAGCATTTGTCGTTTTGGTTTAAGGTTCTTTATGTGAACGACATATGGGACCGTGAACCTGACACTGGCTACAAACTCATTCTGCATGCTCCTATTTGCCGGCTCGAACATTGAATCAAACGCACTATTGGAACCAAAGGTCGAACAAAATACAGCAAGATCTTGGCGTTGTACGAGGGATGCTCAAAACGCTCTATTTACCGCGTATCCTTATGAGGTTGAAGAACTCCCTATAGAGTTGACACGACTCCCGCGAGAGCTGGGCTTGGTATCAGCGGGGAAATTTAGTGGTGCTTCGTTCTATTTAGAACCTGCAATCCATATCGCCTGGTTCCGGTCGTCAATTCTTCGGTCAACTCTTGAGCCCCAGTTTGCTGTTTCTGTTACCTGATGGTGGAGGCGAGACATGTTTGTATCTCTCATAGCATCTTGCAATGTATACGATATGCCCTAACTCAGATGTTTCCCTTTCTTTCTGTCGCTATAGATGAAATGTCGGGGGACCTACTGCTCATATGATTACACCCTCGTGTACTCCTCAACTTGAGAGCACGAGTATGAGGCATCTCAGTCTCACTTTGTATCCTTCAATTGATTGCTATTCCCCGGGTCGCGTGCTACTTCACCAACGACTCTCCGTAACCCCCGGGAAAGGCCAGCTTAGTCGTTGATCGGATGCTATACGTGGTCTATAATCAATTGAATCAGTTCATTTATAATTGATGATTGTTCGGAACTTTTCTAGCAAATGCCGACGCCAAGTGAAAGTCCGCCCTGTACTTTTCGGAAGCTTTTCACAATTCATATTTCCCATCTCACATCCGTGCGAGAGCGGTCTCGTGGCCTCGATCCGTTACCTCGCTAGCTTTTCGGTGATAAGCGATGCGTGCTTCTATTGGAGTCCTCCCGACGGTTGTGCATTTTGTTCGGAGAAATGCTTACGTTTGCCTTCGTCTATTTTGACTTTGTATCAAGATGTGGCCCGCCCTGCCGACATTGGCCAGCTGGATATGAGCTAAATATAGAATCCTCGTGACCAACAAGTGTTCCAAGCTGGCCGACAAGAGCACTCAAACTTGATTTCGTGAACGTAGGATACGCATATAATCCAAATTTTCATGTCGGGTGCGGATCGTATGACCTTCTAGCTTTTATACGGATTAGTGTACTCGTCTGACGATGATGATTCTCCTTAGGCTGATCACGCCTGTATAATCTATTCAATATATTCGATCATGCGATCACCTGGTCGCTTCTTTTTATTTTTAGATGGTCAACTGGCATTGCGGTGTCGTTAGAGTCTTTAACTAAGGTCCTGGATTCTCCCGAAGTATTATGGATCGCATTTGCATAAAAGCGACGTTGCTAACACACTAAAAGTCATCTCATTCTCTTCTCCCTCCACTCATCTCTCAATCATCATGAAGCACTTGGCTTGTGTACTTTCTGCGTTGGCTGCGGCGGGATATGTCAGTGCTCAGCAGCCGCTGTACGCTCAGTGCGGTGGAAAAAACTGGACTGGTATGTCTGATTTTCAACTGGCTCCCCGATGGCGGCTAATTTATTGTCTAAAGGTGGAACCACTTGTGTTTCGGGTTCCACTTGCACTGTCGTGAACGACTACTACTACCAATGGTGATACTGATTTCCCTCTGAAAATTCGATGCATATCTTTACATTCATTTTTAGTCTTCCGGGCTCGTCGTCCCCCACGACGACCAAGGCTGGTACCACCATCAAGCCCACGACCACCGTCACTAGCACTGCTCCGTCTTCTACGAACAGCTTGTGCTCCGGTTCTCTCACCAAGTTTAAGTACTTTGGTGCCAGCCAGTCGTGCGCCGAGTTTGGAGAGACCAAGATCCCTGGTGTTTTGAACACCGATTACACCTGGCCCGCACAGACCTCGATTGATGTATGCATATTTTTTCATTCAATTAATAATAAAAATACTAATATATCCTCGCAGCAACTCATGGCCAAGGGAATGAACTTCTTCCGTATTCCGTTCCTGGTCGAGCGCCTCGTTCCCCCTGCGAATGGTCTCGGTGGGGCGTTCGATCAGACCTACTTGGCGGGTCTTACCAGTACCGTGAACTACATCACGAACAAGGGCGGATACGCCGCTATTGATCCCCACAAGTAGGTAACATGCAATTCAAAGATGATAACACCTGATGTTGACGTTTTTATTTCAGCTATATGCGCTACAACGGAGCCATCATCACCTCGACCACGGACTTTGCCAAGTTCTGGACTAATCTCGCAAGCCAGTTCAAGTCGAACAGCCATGTTATCTTTGACATTATGAACGAGCCCAATGTAAGCAATAGCTTTATTCTCTAGGTAAAGAAGCCGAGTTTTTGTTTGTAGGGCATCGCTGCTTCGGATGTTTTCAACCTCAACCAAGCTGCGGTTAATGCTATCCGTGGCACAGGAGCCACCCAGCTTATCCTGGCCGAGGGAACCTCCTGGACTGGGGCGTGGTGTAAGTCTAGTTTTCGGGCTTGACGTAGCTGGACTCACCTCAAGGCCTACAGCTTGGACCTCGTCTGGAAACGCTGCCGCCTTTAAGAACTTGAAGGATCCTCTCAACAACATCGCTATCGAGATGCACCAGTACCTCGATTCCGATGGCTCCGGTACTAGCGGCACCTGTGTCTCGTCCACGATTCTCGCTGAACGTCTTGCCGATGCCACTAGCTGGCTCAAGGCCAACAACTTCAAGGGCTTCCTCGGTGAGGTTGGCGCTGGCTCTAACGACGCCTGTATCGCGGCTGTCAAGGGAGGGCTTTGTGCGATGCAGCAGTCTGGTGTCTGGCTTGGTCTCAGCTGGTGGGCCGCTGGTCCCTGGTGGGGCAGGTGAGTTGCAGAGATATCACAGGGTTGGAATATTTTTCTGACGTCCTTATAGCAGCTACTTCACTTCGATCGAACCTCCTAGCGGCGCTGCCATTGCCCGCATTCTACCTGAGGCACTCCAGCCTTTCATGTAGTCGGCCCCAAGCTCCATGGCGCCCAGAGGTTCTTACAAAGGCATGGAGATTGTTTTGGTATCTGTCAATGTCCCGCTCGTCCTGATGTCACACATCAGTACTTTTCCATACAATTTAGAATTCAATTTTGGTTTATCTTTGAGCAAAGCGTGCGAAAGAGCTGGTCGTGTTTGGTAATTTGGGCTTGGCAGAGGCCAAGCGCTGTGACGTTTGGTTGCTAGTTTGATAGCCAGCAATTGGCGACGATTACAGACCCTCCCGACGGTTGTGCATGTTCGGAGAAATGCTTACGTCTGCTATCGCCAATTTTGACTTTACATCAAGGAATGTGGCACCAGCCAGTCAGACGGCTGGATTCTTGCGACTGTCGCCGACAAATATACCAGCTCGGCCGGGATATCTGATCACCCTCGGGAGAACTTCAATCCCGCTTTAGTGCTCTAGGCGACGCGTATGATCAACAGGCCAATGGTAAGTGTAGACCACGTTATTCCATACCGCTTTCGCTGACTACCACGCTCATCTGACCAGACCGTGCAATTTCCCTTGGCTGATCGCGTGTTTACGGTTTTATTCTTTATTAGATTATGAGATCACCTGGTTATATCTCGGCATTCCCAGACCACCAACAGGTCGCGTGGAGGTCGATAGGCTCTGTTGGCAACGTCCTGGGTTCCGCCGAGGTATTGCGATGTCATTTCGCATAAAAACAACACTACGATGGACCCAGTACCGACACTTCCTCCCTCTCCTTTCATCTCCCAGTCATGAAGCACTTGGCCTGTGTACTCTCTGCGTTGGCTGCGGTCGGATATGTGAACGCTCAGCAGCCGGAGTGGGCCCAGTGCGGTGGTATCGGATGGAGCGGTATGTCACAACCTCCGGTTGATTCTCGACCGAGCAATAATCCATTTCACTCTAGGCTCGACTACCTGCGTGTCGGGCACCGTTTGCACCAAGGTCAACGACTACTACTACCAATGGTGAGAGATCCTTTCACTGGACGTTTTTTCGCGTCATACTTATCTTTCGTAATAGCATTAAAGGGACGGGAACCAGCCCTACTAGCACCACCAGGCCTGGTGGAGGAACTTCCACCACCACGAGCAGCGCCCCGGGCTCTACCAACAGCTTGTGCTC